GTCATTTGGTATCAGCAGATAGTTGAGTTCCCTTTACATGGGTTTGATGCTATTCCAGGCTAAGGCCTTGATAATTGGCTCCATTTCAGAAGCTGCGCGGAACAATATCTGACATATTAAGGAGAGGGGAAGCTATAACATGAAGCAACAGAGGGGTGAGGGAGCTGATTAACAAAATGCCCATAGAAGACAATGGCTTTTATTAGATTTTTAAATATTAGGTAATTAGAATTAAATTAGAATTCTTTAGAATCAGATCAGAGGGGACAAGATGTGCCTGCACTAGCCTAATTGGTGAATACATGCTGCATTGATTCTTCCCATTAGAAGTCACCTGGTTGAAGGATCTTTGGAAAAATCTGTGAAATGTGTCACATTACAGCCAGGCCAAAACTACCATGACTTACTGGCCTGCTTCAACATTATCATTAGAACAGCTCAGGATTTTAAGCTGCCTCTGGCATGGCTGGGGATGAAATGAAGCCAATGTTAGGAGAACCTGGAAGAACAAAAGAGGTGGCTGGAGCATGTTCATGCCATGGTTAGATGTGAGTGGGGAAAAAAAACCTTTGGTTCCAGATAGTAATTCCTGCATCATCACCACAATCTGCACATTAACCTCAATATGGCTTGGCAGGTCATGCAAATATATAAAGCTGAGTTTCTACTATACCTCATGCATAAAAATGGTTTCTACACTGTACTAGCTGAGTTGACTCAACACACTAGACCATGCTCAAACATATAGCTTAACCTGTCTTGCTGATGCTAACTGCAAAAATAAAGCAGTGACCAATGGAGGGAAATTATGAAGGTAATGAGATGGAAAAGATTAAGTGTTGTATTCTATGTCTAGAATAAGACATAGAAGCGGGGTGGGTGGAAAGTGCCGCATTGATGAGTCTTTAAAAGTCATGTAAATGCCAAGAACTGAAGAAGATTATTTAGGGCTTTCCATAGCAGGTGTATAAGTAGAGATGCAGAAAGACTGAAATAGGAAAAAGTGTTAGTGTTCAATTATGAAAGACCTGCCTGTCAGACTCAGTGGCATGAGATGATGGAATTCTGAAATAATTAAAGCTGCATCAGCTACAAATCGTGTTCAGTCAGGAAACCCAGTGTAAATGCTTTGCTTTGGCCTCAGTAAACCTGCCACACTACAGCCCATTAGGGACGCAAATGTTTGGGTTCATTTTTCTCATTTTTGCAGAGATCCGTGGGAGGCAGGGAGTGTGATGGGAAGCAACCTCCCCAGTGGAAAACTAGAGTGGGAAATAACTGCATAAAGACATGTTCCTCTTGAAGCGCAGGCACATAGAGGAAAGGATAAACCCTTCTTCACTTTTCACTTTTCTGGCACTGTCCCCAGATTGTAGTTCACACTATGGGACCTCACACCCTTGAATAGCTAACTATTTGAGGAGGCTGACATTGGCCTTATTTTTCTATCCTTGTTCAGGTAATGACGGAATAATACTGGTGTCAATTGACATGCCCAAATCATATATTACATTCACTTCATCTGTCTCCTGCATGGGTGATATTACATAATACAGTCTGTGCAACTGTATTATGTGCAACCCCAAAATGTAGATTAGAGAACACTAACAACACAACATGAAACACTGAGCTATATATATGTCTGCTATTGCAACGTTCATAAATATTTAAAGGAGGAATATTATGCTCCCAGGAAATGCATTGAATATGCCAAGCAGCCAACAAATTGCAAAGAAACATGCACAAACTATCACATTATACAATGTAAAGAAACAAATGCCTTTTTTTTTATAGTGATGTTGCTAATGCAACTCCAAGGAGCTCAAGCAGAGTTGAAAATTTGTTTGTCTGTCAATAACAGAAGGAGGAAAATGATGCCTCAGTGTTAACACTACTAAGTTACAATTGATACTGACAGCCCAAATTTTCCATTAATTCATAAACTCAAAGAGCTGATCAAGCCATAAAGTATAAACCACAGTAGCTGAACTGACACTGTACCTAACACGATTTGAGTGAACATCCTGTGATCCTTTTGGGCTTGCTGCTGGTTTTATCTTGTTTTTTTTAATTAGGTACTAGCATTTTTACTCTTTTACATTGTACTCACCTTCTTCTATATTTTAAACAAATATTGCCTGGCCAATCTCAGTTATTGAGGGAAAGACCAGCTTGGATAGTAACTGGATCCTTAAGAAGTTAAAATGTCTGAGACTTCTATTCTGAATAAAAATTAGAATTCACCTCTTAGAAATGTCTTTGTTTACCTCAAGATCATTTTTTTGTTGTGTTTTCTGCTCAGACCATGTTTGTTTTTACTAGTTAATAAAGAGAACGAGTTTATTCCTTCTAAAATCATTATGAAAATAGAAAAAAATACACAAGGTCACGTCCTTAAAAGAAAAGGATAATTTAAATTGTTCCAGAAAAAAAGTTTTCCATTCTAATTATGGATTCATTTCTTTTACCAGCACTGTTTTTAAAATTGCTTTTCTTTTTGCAGCAAAGGAGAAAAACACTTGTAGAGGAACAGAAACACTGCTGTGCATGTTACAATTAGCTGATGGCCACCAAGGCTACACTGAAACTCTTATTACTGCTTTTCCTCTGAATGTATGCAGAACAACATACAGGCATGCTGTGGGTGGGCTAGAGGGTGGGTGGGAGTTCTTCCATCCAGTAGGAAAAAAATGTAATTGCTTTCAGCAATTACCTCCCAGTTACTGAGTTAATTTACAGAAGCACCAATTAAAATGTCGACAATTATAAAATCCTATAGTAAAGTTAGGAGCACCAGGAGGAAAGATCCTTGGAAACAACTATTTCTTCTACATTGTTCCATAACTTATTAGAAAGTATAATATGGACATATTTAATATATGAGTGAAATCTAGCTGAGCCTAATACCGCAATAGCTTCAGGTTCAACCGCAATGGCTCATTTTTATGCCGCTTTGTATTTCAACGGTAACTCTGAATCCATTTTGGTAAACCATCCTAGAGGCAATAGACACAATTTAAAATCACAGCTTCTTATTACCACCTAGTAATAGTGTAAACTGGTAAGTTGGCTTTATGTTTTTCTGATATTGTGTTTATCCTCCCACCTTGAACTGTGACATGGGGGCATAAAAATTTAATAATAATAATCCTGTTATCTTTTGTCTTTAAATCAGTGTTGGATCCTGATGACTGCCAGGATTAGTCCCTGCAGTTTTCTTGACAAGGTTTTTCTCTCTCCAGAAGTGGTCTGCCATTGCCTCTTTTCTAGAGCTGAGAAAGAGTGACTGGCTGGGTGGGACTGGAACTAGAACTCACAGTCTCAGTTTCTATCCTTGGACATTAACCACTAGGCTAAACTCTCTACTAATGTATAAAACTGCGAAAAAATTGTTACAAATTTTCTGTTAGGTAGACTTTTATATAACCCATTGCTTTAGACTTTTTGGAAGAAGAAGAAGAATTAAAGAAAGCTTTACTGCCTTCTTCCTCTTTGTCATGGTATGTTGAAGGGTTTTGCCCCTTACTAGGTAATGTGTACTTGGACTAAATATACTTACATTTAGTCATATTTTTTTATTTTCCTTCTGCATTGTGCACATTCTCTCTACTAAATTCTAAATTAAAAATTTTCTGAATAGACCAATTTTAATATAAAATGTCGTGTATTCTGATGGCCGTAAATGACAAATTGCTCAACAATATCCTTGGAAGGACTGCTGCTAGTCTCATACTTATAGAAATATTTCCTGCAATAAGTACAGTACACTGCATATGCTAATAAAAGATTCCAAGGGTACAATACCATAAAAACAATAACAGGATGACCACAAATCAGGCAAATCATGTTAATCATAATAATAAATTATTATTGATAATTACAGTGAGGAAAATCATTCTCCATAATATTAATAACTTCCTGCAGAATGGAAATTCAATCCCCTACCAATTCTCAAAGGTTTTCAGAAATAGCCAGATCTTAGCAGCTTCCCAAAATGCCAGCAGGGTTGCTGGCATAGAAAGCATTGGTTTAGACAGTTTTGTTTTTCTTACACATAACAGATAGTCACTATAGGACCAGTGGAGGATTTTCAGCTATTTCAGATCCATTTGCACAAAGTTTTTCAGGCATGCGACTGTTTTTTACAGATGAAAAAAGAATTAAGCTTCATGGTTTATTTCTATTCATCTGTTGGAATAGACATTTAAAAAGCTAACAACAACAACAAAAACCACCTAAAAAGCAGAGCAAGAAAGAAAGGAGTGTGATGTTCTTACTCATACACAGCTTAGCTTTTGATGTTTGTCACCTCTGCTGTGATGTGAGACTCGGTCCCCAAGCACTGAGGCACAGTTACAGCACAATGGAAAATTGATAGCTGTGTGAACTTTCTCCTATCTCATCTTAACACAAGCTGAAGTATCTTTATAAGTGACTTGGGGCAAATGGAATGAGTCAATTTTCATGGAAACATCTTCTAAGTTTCCTTGTTTAACTTTGCAGCAGAGTTTACATCCCTGGACTTTTTTGATAGTCTTCCAGCTCAAGTAATGTCTGACTTTGCTTAGCTTTTAAGCAATCAATCCCATGGAAGTCCATTGAAAAACTTGCTTCCGAGTATACAACTCCAGAATTACTTAACAGAGGACTATAAGGGCTGACTTACAGTATCCCAGATTTCCACACCTATAATCTTCTGCAGCTACTTTTAGCTTTGAGATATCTTATGCTATTAACCGGTGTATCCCTTAATTCCATCAGATATCTTTCTGGATGACTTTATGTAGGCACTTCTAATGGTTGTTGTTTATATCCTATGTTAACCTTTCAAATCACTTCCTGATTCTCTATTGTGAAGAACAGTATACCATTCAAATATTCTTCATTGTTAACTGAATTTGCATGTTCCAAATTCCAAGATAATAATAATAGGAGAAAATCACATTTGTTATTGGGCATCTCTCTCTCCCATGCTGATTTGTGAATGTTTTTCCTGGCAGATCATCAGAAGCTAGAACGAGAGGCTCGGATCTGCCGCCTTCTGAAACATCCTAACATAGGTAAGAAAAAGCTCTCTACTCTTTCCAAGGGATTTTGCATGCATCTGTTACACCTTTCTTTCATTTCTGGTAAATAACGGGAATACAACATCAGTATTCTCATACTGTATATTTCAAAGGCAATTGTTACCTGGTGCTGTTTGTGCATTCATCAGTTTTAATTTCCTCCCATGAAGGCATAACTACATCTTCTCTGACAACCTTTCCTAACTTATTGTACCCTGGATCTTTTGAGTTATAATTCCCATCCTCCTCGGCCGTGCTGACCTAGGACTAATTTCGAATTTGCATGCTTATGGATGGATTAACATAAAAAGATAATCAGCAAGAATTTTACGGTGCTTTTTAGTGCTAGTGTTGTCTCATTCCTTCTCCTTTAATTGTTTTGTTCTTAAAAATATATTTGAGGTGCACTTCCATATGTATTAATCCCCTCCTTTTTCAGTTTCCTTTTCAAACACCCCCACACACATTGACTTTCTCTCTGTGTACATTAGTGTTTTGTAATAAAAGGAAGGGAATAGGCCATAATTTGCAGTCTGAAATGATTGCAGCTCAGATCCAGGTTTATCAAAGATTAGCTTTGGTTTGAAGAGTTTTGACAGGTTCTCTCCCAATGGACTTCCTTTTTTGTCATTAAACATTTTTTTTTACTTATCCAGGTCTTCAACTGACCTGTGATAGTAGCCTTAATGCAAAACCATCATGTTAATTGGCTCTAATCTTTCTTTTACTGAAGTATCTGGAAATATATTATCATACTTTGCAGGAGATGGGATTTTGTAGCAAGGTGGGCTCTTTCCTGCTACTTCAATTCTACACATCTGATTTGGGGACAATGACCCTTTTAGGCCAAAGAAGGCCAAATGAACATTCCTGTTCTTGGATTTACCTCTTTCTTTTTCCGGAGGGTGTTTAGTCAATATGGGAGCAAACTACAGTCCTCAGTTGGCATGTGGCTCTTGGCCAAAGCGGATGCTTCCTCAAAGGAATTTACAAGGTCTTTTCAAGCAAGCAATTCAGATCCCTAGTAAGAAGGTCTCTCACTTGGCAAACTGATGAATGGAGGGTAAATGAAAGAAAAACAGAGCATTGGAGAGAGGGGCAGGGGGGAGAAGGGAGAAAAGAAAAGATATATATATATTATTCAGCTTTGTTCGGGTATTTTCCCACATCATTATAGTTGTGCTTTTAAAGTTGTAGCAACGTTTCGGCAGAATCTCATCTGCCATCATCAGGCTTCTGTAGTGTGTTCATCTGTGAGTCAGACTTTTACAGTTGTTTCAGTTTTAAATTTGGGGCTGGCCTACTGCTGTGCCAGAATGGTTTTTTCTTCATCCTGATTGGTTGGGAGTCCTGGTCTGTGTTTATTGGTCTTGGAGTTTGCTGTGTTCTGCTTGATTGGTGTTTCTAATATCTTCTGTCTGTTTTGTGGCTTTTTTTGTGTGTCTTGATTGGCTGGCAACATTGTGTTCCTGTATTGGAGGCTTTTAGTGCAGCTTGGCTCCGAGTAAATGGACGGCTATCATTTGTTAGGAAGCTAGGTTTCATCTGGGTGCCTGGTTGGGGTGTGTTTGGCTTCTCTGATAATTCTGTGGCTGGGGTTTTCACTTTGAGTTTAGGTGTGTTAGGAAAGCAACTTGCACAAAGAAGAACTCAAAGCGCTGCAAGCCCTAAAAAAAGATAGCAGCATAATCATACTACCAGCAGACAAAGGGAATGCCACAGTAGTAATGAATAGAAAAGACTACGAAACAAAATTGACAGACCTACTCCAAGACGCCACATACAAACCCATAAACACGGACCCAACCACATATCTGGAAAAATTAACCAAGAAGAAAATTATAACCAGCCACATGAGCAAAGAGATCCAACAGACGATCATCCCAAGAGAAAAATCTTCCAGATGCCCCAAACTATACGTCCTCCCAAAAATACACAAAGAAGGCATATCTCTCAGACCCATAGTCAGCTCCAGAGGAGCACCACTACAAAACCTAGCTAAACACTTAGCAAAACAGCTACAGCCCCATGCTGAAACAGCAGCTTTCCATGTACAAAACTCATACCACTTCCTGGAAATGATCAAAGATCTACACGTGGAACAAGAAGATCTGCTTGTAAGTTTCGACGTGGTTTCACTATTCACTCAAGTCCCGATAAAAGAAACTCTTGAAATCATCAAAAATAAATACCAACCAGCTAAACACCTCATGGAACTAACAGAACACTGCTTAACCAACACATATTTCATATACAAAGGACAAAGATTGAAGGAGCCCCTATGGGATCACCACTGTCACCCGTCATTGCAAACCTGTTCATGGAAGAATTCGAATCCAGAGCCCTGGCTAATGCCACCCACAAACCCAAACTATGGTTAAGATACATCGATGACACATTTGTGATTTGGCCCCATGGAAAAGAAAACCTAAACAATTTCCTAACACACCTAAACAGCACACACCCCAAAATCAAGTTCACCATGTAAACGGAAACAAACAAACAACTACCATTCCTAGATGTACTAATCTACAAAAAAACAGATGGCACACTAGGACATACCATATACCAGAAGAAAACACACACCAACCGCTACCTCAACGCCCAATCGCACCACCACCCAGCACAGATAAACTCCGTGGCTAAAACACTAATTACTAGAACCAAACGCCTGGCAGACAAGACACACATTAAGACTGAACTATGCACCCTGACCAAAGTACTGACAGCCAACGGCTTCCACAAAAGCAAAATCACCGGCTTGATCCACAAAAACACACTGAGACATAATAGAGACCCAGAAGATGAACAGACCTATGGAACAGCTGTCCTGCCCTACATAAGAG